GGTGGTGGTGGTGGTGGTGGTGTTACTCAGGTCATCCTTTGTTTTCTTTTCTTTTTTTTGCATGCATCCCTACAGTCTAACTAATCTTCCACCTGTTGGGATTTCTCTTCTTTTCTTAATGTTAATGTGTTTTGTGTGTTTTTGCTCTCTCTGTGTTTATCCTATAATTATTATTATTGCTACTCCATTGTGTGTGTGTGCGTGATTTTGGAGACTCTCTCTGTGTGTGTGCACCTGGGCTTGCACTGTGATGATGATGAACTGCTTTTTTGAAGTGAGGAAAAGAATGAAATAATAATAACAGATGAATTTATATTTATAATTGCGTATACACACATATAAACTTACACCCATAGTTGGTGTATTTCTGTGTTTACTGGGTAAATTGGGCTAATGGTTAATATCTGTTTATTTGCTTAATGATTTTGCTGGGTGGTTCAGTCTTTTGTAATATAATTGTGAGTGTGTGGGCTTTTTTTTTTGTTTTTACTCTTACTGAGGTTATTGCGCTGTATTGCATTCTTTAGCTGGTGGGTTTTATTTTCACGATGTAAGTTTCCCTTGTGTTATTAGATTTGTGTGTGTCCTAACATGTTTGATACTTCATTTTTTTCTTTTTTTGCTTTATGATTCTCTTTCTTTCTAGATCAGTGTTTTTACGCAAAACAAACATTTCTTTCTCTCTCTCATGATGATGATGCGCCGTGTGATGTGTGTGTTGGCCGTTGTGCTGTGCTGCGCCTGTGGATGTGCCATGGCGGCTGCTGCTGTTGCTAGTGGTTCTTCTTCTGATGGAGAGGTGGCCCATGAGGATCTAGATTCTTCTTGGAATGCTGGGGTGAAATATGACGAGTTGGTGAAGGCTGCTGGTGATGTAAGTTGGGGACAGTTGGGTACTGGTATGAGCGAAGAAGGTAAAAAAATAGAAAAGTATTACAAGTGTAAGAACGCCACTGATCATAAAGTTCCGGACATCAACTGTTCGATTTGGAAAGAATTTAGGACGGAGGCTACCAGTAAACCAGGTTCCAGTGTCGTTCCTGAACAACAAGCACCACAGCAAATGCGACAAGAAACAGGGGAACAAGGTGCGGATCTTACTGCAGGTGGTATTCAAGCCAATGGTGTTGTTGGTGATGTGGGTCGTGAAGGGGCTAATCGTCGGACAGAGGTTTCAGCAGAAAGTACACCAGAAGGTGCAGTGCACTCTTCAACAATAGATCAACAAAATAACAAGGGTCCATTGAGTGATCCTGCTCAAGACAATGGTAGGAATACTGGGAGTTTACCAGATGGAAGTGAGGCTGCAGGGAGGACCTCTTCTTCACAAGGTGCTACGATTAATGATTCTTCGAGCATAGAAAATCAAGTAACAGAAGGGAATACATCGACAACTGTTAATGCTACACTTGTTGTCTCAACTGACTCTCCGGACAGCACCAACCAATCTCAAGTTTCAGATACGACTGCAACTAATTCTATTTCTGGCGCAGACTCACACGAAACCAATTCCACTACTGCGCCGAGCACCGAGAACACTACCACAGAAGCACCAACCACCACTCCATCTCCTGTACCCAACGCAGAAATCAACAACATCGCTTCCACCGTACAGAACAAGGCTAATGTTGTTGACAGCAGTATCAGTCCTGTGTGGATGGGCACTGCAGCACCGCTACTGATTGTGGTTGTGTTGGTCTCCGTTGCCGTGTACTGAACGGTGGGACTCATCTGAGAACAAATAATAATAATAATGGTAATCCTAACATAATCATAATTGCGTATATCCCCCATGGGTGAATGAATTAATAATCTGTTTACTAGCTTTCTCTTTTAATTCGAGTTTCTTTTCTTTTCTTTTTACTTTTATGTGTGTGTGTTCTTTTTCTAATAATTCCATTACTTGCTTTTTCCGTTGTGTGTGTTTGCAGAAAACTGGGCTGTTCTGCTCACTGACGGTATACATCTCTTGCTAGAACACGCAGATGTGTGTGTGCAGTAATTTAATATACATAAACTAGAGCCATGGGGTATTGTGTGTGTGTTTGGTTCTCTCTCTTATTTGGGTATTGTGGGGTGTTCTCTTTTTTTTCTATTAATGGATACATTGTATTATACAAGCGGGATATTTCTTTTTTGTTGCTTTACTGTACTGTTGCTGCTTCTCTTTCTCTCTCTCTCCACTGTGAATATTTGTTGTACTGGTGTATGTTTGTTTGTTTCTGTTTTTCTTTCCCTTCTTTATTGATGCATTCCATTGAAGTAAGACAGGTGCAACGATATCCACAATACCTGCAACCATTGGAATAATAATAATAATGATGCGCTACGTGCTGTGTATCCTCGCTCTCCTGCTCTCATGTGCGTGTGTGCACGTCCTCGCTGAAGAAGTGCCTGCCGCCGATCTTTCCGACCAAGTCCCTGATACGGAGAGTGAGACAAAGATTTTTCTTCAAGGTACTTGTCCTGCTGCTGGTACTTCTGAGCCTGGTTGTTCTGGTGGTGGTCATCCTCCTGGAACTACTTCTCCCTCAATCCCTGCTAATGTTAGTCCTGCGCTTCAGAATGACAGAAAAGAGGGTGTTGAGGATAGAATTCCTGTCACTGAAGCATTAGGTGAAGATAGGGGTGTGAATCGTCAAGACAATACTCAGGACAATTTACATGTTGCTGGTCAAAGAGAAACTGAACACCAACAACTTGCTGCTGCTTCAACTACAAGAACCAATCCTGCTGACAGTCTAACAGTGCAGGGTCACAATCACGATAGAGAGCAGACTCAAGACCGAACACATCAAGGAGGAGCGAATGTTTTATCACCGATAAAAGAAGTACAACCTTCTGTACACGGTGGAAAAGCAGAAGAGAAATCACAAGAGAATTCAAAGGAGCAGCTCACTCTGCAATCTAAAGGTAGTCCCAATGAGAACTCTGATGCGCCACAGAGATCTGGTCCCCAGGTGCAGGAAACATCGTCTGCAGGAACACAAGATGCCAACGAAAATAAGAATAATGCAGAAGACCAGAATGTATCAAGTGGAAGTACAACTACGAATAATGATTTACCAACACAATCTTCTTCATCAACATCTACTGAAACCCATTCTACACTTTCACCACAGGAAACTGAGGGGAATAATGAATCTGATCATAAAAACGCTGAGAGCGGCACTGCACCTGAAGGGAGTGGGTCACCAAACACCCAAAATGAGGGAGAAAATACAGATATCACAACCACCACCACCCCCACAACAACACTTCCTCCTGAACTCACAAACAACAAGAAGGGTGATGCAGACAGCAGCAGCAGTATCAGCAGTTCTGTGTGGGTGCGTGTACCACT